AAAGTTATAAAGTATAACTCGCCAAACCGCTTGCAAACCATTTTAAGGGGCCTGGAACGCAACAAAAAAAAACGAAAAAAGCTCGACTCAGAGAATTGTCCATTTCAGCTACCCCGAGCACGAGCTCCAAGTGGCAAAGCCTAGCAAAGCCGCTGGGCTTCAAGAATGTCTCACTCTCCCACAAAGCCATGCCCATGATCAAGGCGGTTCCGAGAGGATTTACTGGTAAGCGAATTCGACAAGAAAGTTATACAAATTGGCCTCTAAAGCGACAATGATAGTCCTTATCGTTACCTCATTCGCGAAAAGCCAACCGGTTGCTTTATGCAAAAAGGGGAGGCAGGGAGAGAGTGAGGGAAGAGAGAGAAGCGAGAGAGGGAGCGAGAGAGAGCGAGAGAGCGAGAGCGCACGAGAGGGCGAGAGTGCGAGAGAGTGGGAGGATGAGAGAGTGAGCGATAGAGAGACAGAGGGGGGAATCGTAGCCCAAGCCAGGTAATTCTGCTAGTTCGCGCTATACCTTTAATCGATCCATCAAAACTGTAATTCCAGTGTGCGCCGACGCCTACCTAACCCCCGAAAATCGCTGAATACATCCGCGGGTTCGCATCCGGTTTCTCAGAGCAAATCCAGGACGTCCGCGTCAATTTCATGCAGTCGGATGGCGGGTTGTGCGACGTGCACAAGTAAGTGTTGTCAGGTGTTCTACGGATGTATCCGATTCGCGGGGTTTGGGATCTTTTTTGGATTTCCGGTTTTGCGGTTGGTACCGGAAGCACAAGGCTGCAAGTTTGTGATCCGAAAAAGAGCGGAATCGTAAGGTTCTGGCAGTGTAATGCAGTTGCAAAACGGAACTTTGGCAGCATTTTGAAATTTAAACCCGTATGTTTTGAACAGTATCAAAGTATTTGACATAATAAAAAATATAGAATAAACTCTAGACTAAAAATACTAAAAAAAACTTCAAAAAATTAAAAATTGGTAATGCAACCGGTTTTAAAAATTAATTAAATTGCATCAAATTATATCGCTAGTTTTAATTTTTAAATTAAAAATGAATGTTCCAGCTTTTTATTGATTTTAGACTACATTCATCTTTTAAAGGGGCTCCGAAATCTGGTCCACGGACCCTCGCGTTGATTCCTGGCAAATAGCCAGATGCCGCCGCAACGCGACCGCGACGCATCATCTTTTGCCCCTGTTTAGGCGTGAAAACGTATGAATCTCAAAATTCTGAAGCTATGTATGTAATCCTCGTCGAATTTTGATCAGTCTAGACTTTTTAATTATGAAAATTCATCAGAGAATGATCGAGATCGAGAGACTGGGTGGCTTACAAGGCGTTACGACGCGTAATCGCCGCGCACTCAAAAAGCGGTTTTCGCCCCAAGAACTTTTCGGTTTTACTCAAATATTTTTCGTTTTTTTTTCGCAACGTAATCGCTTTTCTGGTTCTTCTCGGCAGTAACCCTTTCGTTTTTAACCCGTAGGTTCAATCCCCGCACGTATAAATTTTGACTTCCGGGCCCCTTTAAGTAATTCTTTTATTTCGAGTTTAAAACCTGAAAAACCATGAAAAATCTCGAAATTCAGTTTTTAATTTATTACCTAAATGGGGTAAATTATTTATGGTTCAAAATTAAATAAGGATTATTTTATAAGAATCGTAACGATGGAATAGTAAAAAATCCCAAAAATGAGCCCTACACACGCCAAAAAATGTTAATTTCTGTTCTGCCACCGCGCGGTTTGGCGGGCAGACAAATTAACGCCGTTAAACCGGGGCTGGTCCCAAGAAGGAAACGAATTAATTAATTGTTTTTTATTCCTTCTTTTCCGCTCTAAATTCTTTATTTTCCGGTCAAATAACGGCAATTCCGTTTGAATTTAATTACGAAAAACACCCCATATAAGTTGGGGAGGCGCGAAGTTTGGCGGCGGGGAAAATTGGACGCTAGTGATCAGAGTTCAGCCTGGAATTTTGCAAAAATTGGCATCAGAAATTCTAAGTTTATGGTTCAGAATAAAACGGAAGGCTTTGGGTTCTTTTTCATTATCGGGGGGATGTCGGGATATAAGTTTTTCCTACACGTCTAGAAACGTATCATAATTTAATAGTAGGTGTTTCAAACGTAAAAATAATTATTGTAATAGCAAAAGTAATTTTTAGTAAAGTTTAAATATATTTCAAGCGCGAAATCATCTAAAAAAAATTTTAATTTTTGGATGCGTCGAAAAATCGATATTATTTGAGTTTTTTGTTATATAAATTTGTAAAGTTTTTACGTCTAGTAACAGTAAAAAAAGCAGAGAAAAACGCGTGTGCATTTATAATAAAAAAGTTGAATCACTTTTAAAAACGAGGGAAAGCTATACCCTCCCCGATAATGCCAAAGGACCGATTGAGGGAGCAAATTATTGTATACCGAAGTACACCAAGAACACGCAAAAATTTCTAACTGTCTGGTAACTCCAGGGAATGCTGGGGCTCAACTCTAGGAAACCCCCCCCCCCAGCCGACTTTTCAACTTTTCTACCTTCCTTATTTTTATTTTTCGCTACCTTTTTCGACGGAACTGCAATGTAGTCTGACTAATTAGCCTACGGCGAACATTTTGGTATACTTTAGAGCTCGCTAGCACAAAAGGGGCCGAGATACAAAAGTCGGTGCCGGCTGGGGGGTTTCTAGACTCTTACCAATGCTGGAATTTTTATGGTCCCTACGATACGTTACGATACCGTAGACACCAGGCTACAATAAGCTACTAATAGTAGTTTACTACGATCTACCCCCAAATACAATCAGAACGAAATATGAGTGTTTTGCCGTCCGTGGAAAAGTCACGTTATTAGGAAACCGAAAAAACAGGCTTTTTCGGGGAAAATTGGTAAACAAACTAATTGGCGCGTGGAAGTGGTCGGGTGCAGATAATTGAATACCTTGGAAAACTCGAAAATCTGGATTTTGTGGAAAACACGAGGTAGACTTGCTGAGGTTTTTAGAAATTCGCAAAATCCGTAAGATCCTAAATCTCAAAAAAAATATTTTCTTAAGGTGGCAAGCTAGCAGTCATTGCTTGGGATTAAGTTTAAGAGGCTATTGAAGTACAAAATTCTAAAATCTTGAAAATGAATTCGAAAAGTGCAAATTTATGAAAGTGAAGCTAGCAGAGATTATTGAGGAACTCAAAGCTACCATACCCATTTTAAGCGGTCCTAGCTTCAAATTACAAGCAAAAACGTTGTTTATGTGTTTTTGGCAATCCAAAAAATCATTTTGAGATTCTGGGCTTTTTGCAAAACCGACTCCTCGCGCCGGTTTTCCCCCTTCGAAATCGTGAAAATGCATGGGAGCGCCTTCGAAAGTTTTGCAGGCTGTTGTTTAGCTTTTTCCAGGCAGAAATCCGCCCCAAGGCTAGGTAAAGCCCGAAATAATTCCGTTGACCCCCGCGGTGGAAGCTATGAGATTGAGAATAGGCACGCTGATCCTCGGTAACATTAATTACTGGGCTAGGTAAATACTATACTGCCTTACTGTACTATTTATTATGCGAAAAAGCATAGAAAGGTTCTGTTTTTGGGCAGCTACTGTATAAAAAAAAATAAAAATAAGAACGAAGAAAAAATCAGAGATTGAAGAAACCAATAAGCAACCAATAAGAAAAAGATTAGAGAGAGCGAGAGAGAGAGAGAGAGGCCAACGATTAACGAAAAATTGTAATTGGCTTAGTTTTGGACTAGCGCACGATTCCAGAGTTCCGGGTCGAAGTCAGCAAGTATTGAGCCAAATCCTAGCTGAAAAGCTCGCTAAGAGCACAAAAAATAAAAATTAACCACAAACTATATCAAGTAAATTCATGAACCCCGACAAATGAACGATGTTCGAAAAGCTGAGCACTGGCTGCTTCTTAGCTTCTTTGCATCGTTATTTTTAAGCGTAGGAGTTCGAGGAGTTATTTTCGTGTAAACTGCCCCGATACTACACTTTAGATTCCATTAAAACCGTTATATACTTGGAGATCCAAAACATAATTTTTAACAAGTAATAATGGTCTTCACTATCCATTCTACTCAAAAACTTTATTTGAAGCTTCTCGTATTCGGGTTCACCGGCCCATTCCGAAGCGATTCCTTCGCAGAAACCAGCAATTTTTGACTTGGTCCGAAAAAAAGCGGAAAAACAAATGAAAAATGACAATGATGATCCATCGAAACCGGAAGAGAAAACGCGTTGTTTTTGAGTTTTAGCCCCTTCAGTTTGGCGCGCCGGGACCACCCCCAATTATTCCAGAAGGCGCACCATGTCGAGTCAGTTTTCCCCCGGGGACCCGGACGAAAAAGAATTTCGGGAGAGAAGCCACTCATTTTCCGGAGGAAGTTTGTGTAGAGGAAATGGACCGTGGCCGGGGCTCGACCTTGGGATTATGGAAGTTCGAGTCTCGCCACTTCCGGCTCAGACAGACCCTCGAAAAATTTCAAAAAGAGTGCGAAAATTAAACAGGATGTCTGAATCGCCCCGCGGGGAATTTAGGGGCAATTTAAGGTAAACTTCCGGGGAAATTTGATGATGGACTTATAAAATGAGAATGAGAGGGGAGAGAGAGAGAGAGAGAGAGAGAGAGAGAGAGAGAGAGACTATGAGAGAGCTAAGTGACCCCAAGCTTCCAAACTTAAGCTAAAGCTTAAAACGGCTTTTATATGTCGAATAATCACAAGAAAATGAATTTGTTCAGCTTCTGCGGTTCTCGGGCGATCCCTCGGGCCCGGCTGGCGGTGTCGTTGGTGTGGCTCGTACTGCCTATGACGAAAAGACGAAGAGGCCGGTGATCGGATTCGATATGGGAGGAACGAGTACGGATGTGAGTGAGAGAGAGAGCAAGATAGAGAGAGAGAGAGCGAAAGAAAGCCAGAGAGAGCGAGAGAGAGCGAGCGAGAAAGATAGCGCGAGAGAGCAGGCGAATCACTTTTAGGTTTGTCGCTATTCCGGAGAGCTAGAGCACGTGATGGAGACGACGACAGCCGGAGTGACGATCCAGGCACCACAGGTGCGAGATCTTTGAGCGTCACGCTTGGCTACGCTACACCACTAAACCCCTTGCCGAGCCAAAAATAGCTAACAAGGATCGATATCTGGTATAATTAAATGATTTTTCAGCTCGACATCAATACGGTGGCAGCTGGCGGCGGATCGCGATTATTTTTCCGTAACGGCCTGTTCGTGGTGGGACCCGAGTCGGCTGGCGCGCATCCGGGCCCGGTCTCGTATAAGAAAGTAAATTTTATTATCAAACATTTTTAAGGGCGCTGACAAGGCACCGGTTGTTTATGGAGTTTAATACTCTTGTTTCATTTCGATTATGGAATTCACCAAAATAATATTTTTTTAAACTTCCTTTGTTTGGAACATTAATTACTTAGGCCGACTCGCCTAAAAATTCACGTTTAGAACGGCTATCTCGCGGTGACGGACGCGAATCTGGTACTGGGCCGAATTCAGCCCGATTTCTTCCCGAAGATTTTCGGTGAAAATGCCGATCAGCCGCTCGACAAGTGGGTGCTCCTCTCCCTCGCTCTCGTTCTCTCTCTCCCTCTCTGGTACACTCGCACTCTCGCTCTCTCTCTCTCTCTCTCTCTCTCTCTCGCTTTCTTTCGCTCACTCACTCAAAAAATATCATTAGGGAGGCAGCTATGGCGGCTTTCAAGGAATTCACCGACGACGTGAATCGACACGTCAAAGAGAACAAGGAGGCGGTTCAGGTATGATTTTCGAGTAGATTAAAATTAATATAAAGTTAAGGGATAGTTAGTACATGTAAAGACCATCCAATCAATTCTAGCGTACCTACACGATTGAAGAGGTGGCGCTCGGATGTATATCGGTGGCAAATGAGGAGATGTGCAGACCGATTCGGGCACTTACACAGGTGGGAGAGAGAGGGCGAGGGCGAGAGAGAGAGAGAGAGAGATAGGGAGCAGAAAAAGCCATTTCTCTTTCCAGGCAAAAGGCTACGACACCTCTGAGCACGTGCTCGCATGCTTCGGAGGAGCAGGAGCTCAACATGCTTGTGCGGTCGCCCGAACTCTCGGCATCCGCTCCGTCTTCGTTCACAAGTACTCGGGCGTACTTTCGGCATACGGTATCGCGCTGGCCGACGTCGTGGCCGAGGCGCAGGAGCCCGCGCAGAAGCCGTTCACCAAGGGTACGGTTTCTAGGGGTGTTTTAAAGGGAGACAAGGCAAGATAACGGCGTAAAAGTGGCGATTCTGAATTTAGAATTTGCGAATTGCGAAAAATTCGGAACTTTGGTTCTGGACTATTAGCGGGGGATTTTTAGCGGGGATTTTGAAAGCTGACTACGGAAAATGAATCTTATTTTTGTGACATTAATGCGCCAATGAGGGATATCACTAATTTCTCGTCCAATTTAGAGAACTTCTCCCTTTTTGCCGACCGGTTCAAGGAGTTGCGAAGACAAACCACCGATCAGCTCAAGTCGCAGGGCTTCAAAGACGAAGCCATCGAAGCCGAGTGCTTCCTCCATATGCGATATGCCAAGACGGACTGCGCCATCATGACGGCGGCGAATTTTGATCCCGCTGATCCGAAAACAATCGAAAAGTTTATGGAGAATTTCAGGTAAAACCCAAAGTTTCGGAGCTCGAAATTCTTTTTTCAGAAGCACGTACAAGCGCGAATTCGGGTTTGTTCTGGACACTCGTCAGGTACAGGTGGATGATATACGGTTGGACGGCTACCGTAACCCTAGAAAAACGCTTTTTAGGGTGCGTGGAATCGGGAAAAGCGGAATTGAGGTGAAGGATCATATCGAGAAAGCTGATGATCCACTTGGAGCACCAAAAATTGGGGAACGAGACTGTTATTTCGAGGTTAGTTTAGGAGGGGGAGAGTGAGAAAGAGAGAGAGAGAGAGAGAGAGAGAGAGAGAGAGGAGAGAGCGAGCGAGCGAGCGCGAGAGTGAGAGCGAGAGAGAGTGAGAGAGAGCTAGAGATAGAGTGCTAGAGAGAGAGAAGAAGAGCCACCGTCCTTCAAAGAAATACAAATCTTTAGGGTGGACCACAGAGTACGAAACTGTACGAGCTAGGAAAGCTAAAATCTGGACATATCGTCAAGGGCCCAGCAATTATTTTGGATGCAAACAGGTGTGTTCCATCGTGTAACATTCGTCATTTCTCGTCGCACGTAACTGTCGAGACCTTGGCGACGAGGCGGGAAGATTTTGGCACTTGTTTGTCCCTTTAACCCGATGATTCTACAGCACGATCGTCATCGAGCCCGGCTGCACGGCGACGATCACCGAGGAGGGAAATGTCAAAATACAAGTCGCTGAAGCTTACGAAAAAGATTCCAGTACAAAGGTACCGGTTACCTAAATTCCGCTATACTACTCTCTACGCCCCATCAGAAAACACCTTCTCTCTCGAACGTAAATGGTCTCTCTATCGCTCTCTCTCTCTCTCTCTCTCTCTCTCTCTTTCTCTCTCTCTCTCTATCTCTGATACACAGGCTGTCTCTCACTCTCGTTCACTCTCATCCACTCTCTATATCTCTCTAGCTATCTCTTCTCTCGCTCTCAGTGACGTAAATCGTCCTCAAGATCCCGCTAACCGACCGTGGTTTTTTGGGGTGCTTACGGAGTTTTCGACGTGAACTCTGGGATAAAATGTTGAATTCCTGAGCAAGTCTCACCTTAAAAAATGAGCAGCTCCTACCCCTCCTTCTTTCAGGTGGACCCGATCCGTCTGTCCATCTTCTCCAACCGGTTCATGTCGATCGCCGAGCAGATGGGCAGAGTATTGCAGCGGACAGCGATATCCACAAATATCAAGGTACCACGATTTCGTGCGCCCGGCACCGCGCCCGTTTTAGGAACGTCTCGATTTCTCCTGTGCTCTTTTCGGGCCGGATGGCGGGCTGATCGCGAATGCTCCGCATATTCCGGTGCATTTGGGTAAATTGTTAAATTATTTTGCGGTGGATTGAGGGACTCTGAAGGTCGAAATTCTGCTCTTTACATCGGCTAGGTCTCGACACGTAGGCACCGTTTTAAGTAACGCGTTCAGTAAAAATAAATATTTTTGGAAGCGTAATTTGGTACGTCGCGTAGCTGGTGGATACCTAGCTGACCAAATAGCGGATTCCTTACGTAACTTAAAGGCTTTTAAACTTATTTTCATATGCCGCGTGGCTGTCAAGATCTGGCGATGAAAGGGGTCGATCCTCGCGCTTTCTTGTCCCTTTAGAGATCTGCAAAGGTCATTTAATGTCCTGATCCTTTAGGCGGCATGCAGTACTCGGTGAAGTATCAGATCAAGACTCTCGGGATAGACGGGATCCACGAGGGCGACGTCATTTTGTCGAATCACCCGAAAGCTGGCGGGAGTCACTTGCCGGATTTGACAGTTATAACACCGGTATGGCCATTTAGCAAAGCATTCCTAATCTAAAAAATTTCCGAATCTTGGGTTTTGATTCCTAGGTTCTACTTTTTTTGAGCTGGATTTACCTACCCCTCCCCCCAGCAGGAAGTTCACAATTTTCGATATTTTCGCTGTTTTGTCGGGATTTTGGCTATGAAATTCGATAGAGCATTAAAAAATTTACTGCAGGTTTTAATGACAGCCAAAAATAATGCAATATAAAAAGTAATAGTGAAAAACGTTTGGGAACTTCCGGCTGAGGGGAAGGAAAGGCTTACCTTTTTTTAAAACACTTAGGGGGTATCAAATCAGGGTATAGCAAGCTACGGTAGTTACTTTTTTATTAAATGTATAATCTGACATTTTGCTACGATTTTAGGTGTTCATGCCAGGCAACAAAAACCCCGTGTTCTTCCTGGCCAACCGTGGTCACCACGCGGACATTGGGGGTCTTGTCCCCGGCAGCATGCCCCCCAACGCCACGGAGCTCCTGCAGGTGATAGGCCCACCCGGGCGGCCCTCACCCACCGCCGCCATAGCTCAGTTGGTTAGAGCGTGGGTCTAATAAGCCCAAGGTCGCAGGTTCGACCCCTGCTGGCGGCAAATCTTTTGCTTTTTGGGTGCAGGGCCGGGATTCGTTCTTGGAAGTGCTCTAAAATGCTTTTTTTACAGTAGAAAATTCAATTTTAATTGTTCAGGAGGGCGCCACGTTCGTCTCGTTCAAAATTGTCGACCGTGGGAATTTCCAAGAGGAGGAGCTGACAAAAATGCTGAATGCGCCCTCGAAAATCAAGGGTTTGGAAAATCTGAAGATGTAAGGCAACGTTTCTAGGATGTTCGGGTACTCGCCAGCTCAACGACAACATTTCTGACTTGAAAGCACAGATCGCGGCGAATAACAAGGGAATACAGCTAGTGCAGGGGCTGATCGGGGAGTATGGCTTAGAGGTAAGTAATGCGTAGCGCCTAAAGTTAGGCTTTCCCTAGGCTTGACTTAGGTTTGGCTTAGGCTTGGCTTAAGCCGGCTTAGCTTAACGATTGGCCTAGCTTGGCTTAGGTTTGGCCTCGGCTTGGCTTAGGCTTGGCCTGGGCTTGGCTTGGTTGCTTAGCTTTTTATAACACCTTACAGGTCGTCCAAGCATACATGCAGCACATACAAAAAACGGCCGAGGAGAGCGTCAGGGAGCTCTTGAAAAAGGTAAGCTGATGAGCGTGACATATGGCAGTACATAAAGTAGTTAAATTTTTTGGTAACGTTTGAATTTTTAGGTTGGCCAAAAAGTGCACGACGAAACCGGAAGCACCAGGCTGTCGTCGGAAGATTTTATGGATGATGGCACGATACTGAAGCTGACGGTGGTGATTGACAAGGAAAAGGTGGGCTCAAGAACTTTCTTGTATCAGTCCAGAAAAGCCTAGTAACTTTATAGAAAGGGTCTTAATAGTGTTTTTAGCAACATGTAAATCGATTTCAACTAGAAACACTGTCTAAAAACTTTTAAAAAAGCCGAAATTTTGGCCAAAACCACGATTTTTGGTCGGAAAATCGAGCTTTTTGATCAATTTTTAAATAAAAATTTGTAAAGTGTTGTCCTTTAGGAACAGTAAAAAACCGTTTAGAAACACTTCCACTATTTATATTAAAAAAACTAAATCCTAAGAAAAAAGTTAGGTCCTCCCCCCGATAATGCGAAAGAACCTTTTAATCTACTTCCAATTGTCAGGGCGAAGCCGTATTCGATTTCGACGGCACGGGGCCCGAGTGCTTGTGGTCGACAAATGCGCCGAATGCAGGTAGAACTCCAGACTACGAACTATGCCAAATTACCTAGTCACCCTGTCGGCCATCACGTACTGTTTGCGTTGTCTGGTCGATCGAGACATTCCGTTGAATAATGGCTGCTTGGTGCCGGTGAAGGTAAGGATTTCCGATGGCGCACCTCATTACCGGCTACTTCCGGTCACTGGACCCAATTTGCATATGCTACCCCGAAAAACGGTAATATCTTACAAATCGGCTTTTAAAATAGCGTCCTTAACTAAACATGGTTTTGAAGAGTGTTGCGAACTCACCATTTTGAGGGCTTTTGAATGGCGTAACTATCGTTCCGATGCGATACTGCTTCGTCGAGTCAGATGGGGGATGTTTTGTGGGACGACTCATCGTAAACTCTCATTCTCATACTCATTGTCTTCCTGTCCCTAAAATCATGAAAAACTTTGCAGATTGTGATCCCGCCCAACACAATCCTATCCCCGTCGGAGAATGCCCCGGTCGTGGCCGGAAATGTATTGACAAGCCAACGAATCTGTGACGTCGTCTTCAAGGCGTTCCATGCCGTTGCGGCGAGTCAAGGTAACGGAGAGAGATCCATGTAGAAATTTTCGTTTTTTAAATGAGGGGATTCGCTTTTGTGTCTCATTTTTTTGACTGCAACCTCAGCTTCTAAAAAGTTATAAAAACCGAAGGGAAAGCAAGGGCGGGAATTACTTTCGAATCACCAACTACTTCAGGCTGCATGAACAACGTGACGTTCGGCGACAACGAGTTCGGGTACTACGAGACGATCGCTGGAGGGGCCGGGGCGGGCGAAGGGTTCGATGGGAGGAGTGGTGTCCACACGCATATGACAAACACCAGGATTACGGATCCAGAGATCCTGGAAACGAGGTAACTTCAAAGCGGGTTTCTTTCAAAATCCCGAAATTCATAATGCCGAAATTTCATAGTGTCGAAATTTCATAATGTTGAAAATTACATCAGCTAATTTTCCCGGACCCCCCGAATCCTACGCAAAAAAATCGACTTTCTGACTTTTGACATTCTGAAATGGCCATATTGTGAAATTTCAAGATATGAATTGCGACATTATGATAGAAAATCCTTGAAAACATCTGTACTTTTTGATATTTTTGACATGATACATGAACCTTTCCAGATACCCGATCATCCTCCGGGAATTCGGATTGCGCCTCGAGTCTGGCGGTCGGGGTAAGTATCGCGGAGGTGACGGTGTCATCAGAAGGCTTCTCTTCCGCAAGGAGCTCCAGCTGTCCTTGCTGACCGAGAGGAGGTAAAAAAAATTTATAGGTTCTTGAGTGTTAACGGGGGGGGGGGATTTTTAGCAACGGGAGAATCACTTTTTGTTTTGCACCTATTGATGATATATTATGTATTTTATAGTGTTTTGCGTAGTTTTTGACTGCTAGAAAATTCTTCAAAAAATTTTTTTGTTTGTAAATTCGAAAAATTTCACCTTCTTTGCTCATTTGTCTTACATTTTTTATCAAAAAAAACAAAGTTTCGAAAATTTTTAAGTGTTTTTATATTGGTTTTTGTATTCTGAAACTATGGAAAATTCAATCGAAAATGGTTTATATTTTGTTATAGGGCCGTAGTGAATCACAGGGAAAAATTTGGTTCCCCCGCTAACAGTCGAGAACCAAGTTATCTCCGCCTTATCGACCTTCCAGAACCTTTGCCCCCTATGGCCTCTTCGGCGGGGAGCCGGGACGTCGTGGTCAGAATTTGCTGCATCGGAAGGGCCGCGTGCTGAACGTCGGCTCGAAGATCACGATTGATGTACAGGCTGGGGTATGCTGTACAAGAAAATCTGACGAGATCTCGAATTTCAGGACGAACTGGAGCTGCTATCCCCGGGTGGAGGCGGCTATGGAAGATCGGAGAAATAAATCGCCGCAAGAGAACTGTAGTCAGAGCCAGATAAATTTTTATCCCCCCTGTCCACAGCAAAACAGGAAAAAACGCCATCCGTTTTTGTGTATACTGTTTTATTTGACTCTGGGCCTTGGCTCCGGCTCTAGAATTACCTTGTCTAGGTCAAGACTGTTGATGCCGGTACTACTTCCACTCCCTCTCTCTCTCTCTCTCTCTCGCTCTCTCTCTCTTTCTCTTTGTATCTCTCTGTCTCTCGCTCTCTCGCTAACTCAAAATTCGACCTTAGTACGAGATCTAATTGCAAATGGAGAAAATTAGGACCAGGAACTGTGCTATGCAATGCAAATTCTTGCCATGTAATCATTTCTACATCCCTCGCCTAAATTAGCATAATAGCGTAATTGCATAATTTGCATTTGCGGAAAGTGGAGCGCCCGGCAAGTGGCGCGAAATCTCTCTCTTCGTATATTCAGCTATTTGTCGTCCTAATTGGTATGTTGGTTTCGGTCCCGCTTTCAAAACGTTTCGTACAAATTAGCTCTCTCTAATGTGAATTGAAAGATCTTTCTTCTTCTAAAACTATTCGAAACCTTAATATTTATACAACGTGGTTATGCTTATGAGCTGGGGAAGGTTACTAGTAATACTTGACCGATTGGGTGTGGAGCCTGATCGGTCGGTGCCACGACTTGCGGTCCGACATCTACAGGGTGCCCCAAAAAACGACCCATCTGGCATTTCGCCGGGTTACACCCAATCGCTCCTATATTTGGACCAGAGGTGTATCAGACCCTAAATAACCACAATCCTGACTTACAGCCCCATAGCTACAGTAGTTTTAAAGTTATAGCGAAAATACTGTTTTTCCCGGGCTTCTGAACAGTTTTATCGGCTATCTTTTTCGACTTTGCATCGCTTTGCATTGACTTCCGACTGCGAATCCCTAATTTCGCTTAAGAACTGGGGTAATTTTGCGTTGTAAAATCGCTTAAATCGAAGCTTATTTAATTAATTTTACTCTGGAAAAAATTTCTTACGGTAAAGAAGGCCTACCGGATCATTTTCACTTAATGTCTAGGGGTCTAATTCCACGAAAACCCTATGAAAAATGGAAAATAAAGTTTGTTTTTGCTATAACTCGAGAACGAATGTAGCTACCGGGCTATAGGTCAGGATTGTTGTTATTTAGGATTGTTTATTTAGTTTGCGAGCGTATGTTTCCTCTATCGAACAGTATTTTTCAAATATGAAATGAAAATGAAAAATCTTAAAACCCAGGAAAAATCCATCGTTTCGTAGCTAGCTAGCTTGGCCTTAAAAAGTCGATTTTTTTTAGAAATCTACCATCTGGAAAGTGTCCATTCGTTCGGCTCGTCAGCCAGCACGACCAGTTTCGTGTCCTTCCAGGTCGTGTTTACCTGCATTCTCTCTCATGCTCTCTCATGCTCTCTCTCTCTCTCTCTCTCTCTCGCTCATTACGAAAACTCCTGCTTCCAGCCATGCAACGTAATTTCTCAAGCTTGTTGTGGCAACTGCCATTTTTCAGGACATGACGAATGGGGACCTCGTGCGAAGGCACTACTGGACTTTATCGATGATTGAAGACGTGAGCGACTCGCAGCAGCCCGGAACCTTCGCGCGGGACTCGGTTGGTACATCATTTGTTGTGTCGTTGCTGAAAAAGCTGAAAGTGTCTTCTTCCGCTCTTGTGCTTACCTAACCTGTAAGCAAGCTAGCAGCGATTCTTTTGGTAGAGATAAATTTTTGTTTCAGGCACACGCTCAACCGCCCGCGGCTCTTCCATACTCCGTTGGTCGTCCGGTTGGTCTCACTCTCACTCTCGCTCTATTTCTCTCTCTCTCACTCTCTCTCTCTCTCTCGCTCTCTCTCGCTCTTTCTCTCGCGCTCCTCTCCCGCTTCAAAATTGTATTTTTTTAGCGCAGCGCCGCCCCTCTAAGATTTCGACAGCGTGGACACGCTCTCATCCTCCAGCGCCACGAGCATCGCCTCCTTCGTTTCCTTCAAGGTCGTATTTTCCTGCAATTTTTTGTAGCAGTAGCTCCAGGTTGTCATCCGGCTGCCTTGAAAACGCGCCAATTTTCAGGAAACGGCCTCGAAAACGGGCCGACCCGGGCTGTATTCGGAAGGCTACTGCGCCCGATGCACCCCTGATGCCGGACTGAAGGACGTGCGATACGAGTATCGAGCGACCGTTTGTAAGGGATGCGTACGTGCCCCGAAGTGAGTTCTTGAAATCATCCCACAATGTATACATGGGTCGACGCTTGCATGCGCTGCATAAGCGTGGCTGGCCACGCTCTTCCGGAGCGTGGAGGACCACGCCTATGCGGCGCTTTAGGCGTGCTTTTTCACGCGCGCGATTTAACTCCAGATGCAAATCAAAAATTTAAAGGACATATATTTATGATTTCGATTTGCAAAAGTGAACTGCCGATACATAACAATCAGGGTCCTCTTTAAATTTGATTTAAATTTTAAATTTGATAAATAAACAAGTTAGATCGTGGTTCAACTTCTTGTTAGTTAAATTCTCGAAAACGGCTCGATTTTTGCTTTCATGTCCCTTGGAAACTTTGATTTTGCATTTTTTTAGAAACTTTGCATAAGCGTTTCCGGAGCGTGGCGAGCCACGCTCATTTCGGCGTGGTTTATTAAGAGGCACGCGCGCCAGCGTGGCTCTCCACGCTCCGGAAGAGCGTGGCCGGCCACGCTTATGCGACGCATGCAAGCGTCGACTCATGTATACCACAATGAACCCATCGTTTTCAGGAAAGCCCTCGAGAAGTTCAACGGCTCCCATCGTAAATGCACCTGCCAAGGCAAAGGTAAATTTTATTGACAAGCCCTTCGACCGATCAAATTTTAGACAGGTGCACATGGCGCCGCTGGAAACGGTTGGGCTACGAGGACCCCGATGAGCGAGAGGGTTGAGGCGATGAGCTAGAGGACAACAAGGATTCCGGCGGCTACAAGGAGACCAAAGACAAATACCACCCTCTTCTCCTAATTTTTCCACATCAAATTCCCCTTTTCCGGTTTGACGAAATAAAATGGTTTTTTGGATGTGATTGCAGCGTACTATCGTGAGAGAGGGAGAGAGAGAGAGAGAGAGAGAGAGAGAGAGAGAGAAAGAGAGAGAGAGAGAGAGAGAGAGAGAGAGAGAGAGAGAGGGAGAGAGAGGGAGAGAGCAGATGACGGGGAAATTGAGTGCAAGGCGAGAGGCTAGAGAAAGAGAGAGCCTCCAATATAACCCCCGGGGGCTATATTTTTTCAATCACGTGGGGGAGGGGTTGTATTAGAAGGAGGGAGATATACATCCACAAAGTTGGACAAAAACGTTTTTTACATATTTTACAAGGTGTCGCAATAAAAAAAAACCCGCCCTCTCCCCCTAACTCGACGCAGAAATATTTTAAGATTTTGCGGTTTTTTCGGAGTTTGATTCGAACTTATTTTGTTCAGTTTCTTCAAGCTAAATGACCGTAGTGACGGTCAATTAGATCCAGAAGCCGTTCCTTGATGTTTTGAAATGCGTTGCAAAATGGCGCCTTTAAATAAAAAATGTTTTGAAGATTGTTGCAATGGCTTTCGAATGGTATAATTATCATTCAGATCCGATACCACTGCGTCGAGTTAGAGAGGGTGTTTTTTATTGGGACATCATGTAGATTTTAAGTAGATTGTAGATGACAGTATAAGCAAAAGTAGATACTACCCTAATAACAATTCAAAATGATTGGCTAAACAATTCCTAAACGAACGAATTGGCCTGGGCCTCTTCAGATTCCCTACAGAATGCCTAGAATATCACATGGCGAAGCGGTTGGCATGATTCTCAAGGCATCTGAGTGTCATTTGGAGTGTCCCGTTCGAATCCAGTACGGTCAAGCAGAATTAGTGGCTAAGCAATTCGAGATTAGTGGCTAAACAAGTTCTAACGGACGACAACTTGGGCCTGTGGAATTGCGAATGCGGCTGCTAATATCTTATTACAAACAGCCGCTTGCAGGCCGCCGCGCCGGCTGGACTTCGGCTATCCAATGTGCTCCCTTCCCCTGGCCGAAACGCGCGTGACCTGGCTCACTATGCCCAAAATCGTCCAAAAGCCGTTTTACTATCAAATTACAAATATAGCATGTTAAATTTGAACCTGAAGTTTTTAGATTCTGTTCTTAATCACTTTTGGGGTGTCTGGCCACGCTCGATCCGAATCCGAGGAGAGCTAAGCTTTAGCTCCTTTCTCCCTCGAGTTAAATTCGGCTTTAGACAGACCCACGGAGACCACAACAAAATTAAAATAGGTGATCGTGGCTTCGGCCGGAAGTGGAGCGGAGATTGGTCTTATTTATATCTGTATATTTCTCTGTCTGTCTCTCTCTCTCTCTCGCTGTCCCTTTTCTCTCTCTCTCTCTCTCTCTCTCGGATTCTAGCTGCTCCCAAAAATAAATCAAATCATTTTATTTCATTGTAAACCCGAAACACATCACATTCAACCCAATAATTGTTGAGGTTGAGAAGAGCGGAGGTGTGGACGCATCGAGATTTTGCACTGGTCGGGGCGTCGCGGAGGATGATCGAGGGCATGGAACGCGACGCTTCGGCCGAGCTGCGGAAGCGAGCTGCCTTCGGGGTCGACGTCAGCAGCTTAAAGATCTTCTTTTTACCACCATTTTGTGAGTAGGAAGGCGCAAAGAAAGTAGGCGAGAGGGAGAAAAAGAGAGCTAGAGGATCTACCGGTTGAAAAATGTTGCACTCTTTGGAAATGTACTCCTCGGGGCCGGCCCTCTTCGGCGCGGTGGACGGGCAGCACTGAAAATCGCAAAAGTTTGCTGTACTTCGGACTGCAAAACAATTCCTAAACGAAGGAATTGGCCTGCGCCTCTTCAGAGGGCCTACAGAATGCCTAGAATATCGCATGGCGAAGCGGTTGGCATGATTCTCAAGGCATCTGAGTGTCATTTGGAGTGTCCCGTTCGAATACAGTATGGTAAAACAGAATTAGTGGCTAAACAATTCCAAATTAGTGACCAAACAATTCCTAAACGAAGGAATTGGCCTGCGCCTCTTCAGAGGGCCTACAGAATGCCTAGAATATCGCATGGCGAAGCGGTTGGCATGATTCTCATGGCATCTGAGTTTCATTTAGAGTTCCCGTTTGTGGAATTTCGGAATAAAAGGTCACAGAATATGAGTGACGAGACAATCAACTTCGATGGCAGCTTCGCTGGCGTCAGGCGCTTCGCGGACCTGTGGTATCCAATTGGAACTCAACGCTGAAAATCGGCTTCTATAATTCAATTCTGTGTCTGCCACACAAAATCGCACGATCGTGTTTCCATACAGGTGATTGCATCATGCCGGTCAATTAGCATGTCAGGTCGCATATAAAACGCAATATCGGCTTCACAATTTCTCCATCAAATTATTCTCACCGGAAAACGTAAGTTGTGGAACGATTCTCCATTATTATCATTCTTATTATTTTAGCGCAACGATGCCGAAGCAGAAGTCGAAGCATGTGTCGAAGAAGGTGATCGACCAGCCCAAGGAGAAAGAGAAAAAGAAGAATGATCCGAAGGCCGAGACGAACGACGACAAGAAGATCGCGCCGAAGAGCCAGAAGAACGAGTCCCAGCCAAAGAAGCCGGCGACGAAGGGGCAGTCGAAAAAGGATAGCAAGGGCGCGGAGAAGAAGTTGAAGGGCACCAAGCAGAAGTCCGGCTCCTGGGCTTCGGCGGAGGTAGTGCTGTGGAGTATTATCCTAGGAGTTTACCTGATTTTTGGCATGGTTTATTTCGCCTAGCAATTAGCACAACGCCTTTTTGTGAAGTTTTTAGGGTTGGTTGAGGTCACAAGCATAGAAACTTTGAAACTTTCAAAATTTTGTCATTTTAGATAGAAATGCTAGCTTTCCAAAAAGTCTTCCATTCAATTTAGTTCTAACCCATATTTTATATCCGAAATGACACCGGCCGCGAACTGCATTGACAATTTGACAATTCCAGGCTTGGGCCAAGCTCGTGCCGCTGTGGGACGATAACCGCCGCCGGGATTTGCTCCTGGACAATGAGGTAAATCAACATTGGGCGATGATAAATATATTTCTGCAGTGCACTGCCTGCCCCGCCGAGGGCGACGACGTGCGGCCACGCATGGACACCTTCCTGTGCAGCACTTGTTCGTCCCGCGCCCAGTAGGACCATTCGATCGGTACATAGTGAATTGCTTCAATCTCAGACGCGCCAAGCGCTACATCACCGAAGAGCGGGACCACACCATGCATTGTGTGGTCTTTCGTCAGCTGCAGAAGAAGGGGTCGGTGTTTTCCGTACATTATGAACAAAAGGGCGCTCGAATGTTTATACATTTCAATTTGCAGCAATGCTGACCCGCTCACCCTCTTCTCCGCCGCTGGTAGGCACAATGGGTCTTCGAAAAAAAACTCGAATTTAGGGCGTTCCTGCCCCGTCTGCTGGGCTCTTCACTACGGCCTCTCCTTTGAATAAACTACTCGACCGCTGGACCGAACGACCGAACGACTCCTCGCTCCGCCATCATCCTCATCATCTCCTCGCTCACCATCATCACCGAATCGATCCACACATTTCCCGCATGACATGTGTCCCCCTGCCTCTGAAATACGTCGATTGATTACACGGCTATATTTTAATATACTGTCGTATGTTTATGGCGCAATAAATGTTTATTTTTATGTTGCTATTAGGTCTGACGCGTACACATCATCCCGAAAATCCGCGGTGAAGGGCTACTCGGTTTGGAAAGGGCGGACCGTTGCGCGGCTCTCGGGATTGCGCGGGCCTGAGGGGGGCTCTCGGCCAATGCGCGGCCCGCCTGCGGCTAATTGCGCGGGTCTGCCCTTTACCCCGCGCAACGGTCCGCCCTTTCCAAACCGAGTACGCAACGAACGACCGGCCGGCCGGCCGCTATCGACGGAAAAATTTATCGGCAAAAAACTTTGACATTTTCTCCAAAGTATTAATAGTTGTTCCTTCGTGGCAAGGCTTTTTATCTCTTCCAAAACAATCCATTTTCTTGCAGGGGGGCCGCAATATGGACGGGACCGACGCCAAAGCGGTATTTATATCAAAATCAAAACAATAATATTTATATCAAAATAACAATTTGAAACAATATTTATATCCATACTGTCTTCCCGCCCATCCACATGGCGACTGAAAAATATAAGCCCGCGCCCGAGCCTTTTTCATCAAAAAAAGCAAATTTGAAAATCAGAAAACGCAAAGACTATAGAAAATGTGATTTTGAGTCGTTGTAAGCGCCCTCTATGCCAAAAGCCCGTCTAACTGGTCAAAAAACAATTTTACCATAAAATTCCGTAATTTTAGCCGATCAAAAACTGGGTTTTGTATCAGTGGGACTCCGGCATAATCGCGAAATCCCTGGAACCCACTTGCAGCCCCAGCGGGCAACAGCGCAAAATGCAAACAAAGCATCGCTTGTTGTGCTCTACCACTTACCTTGTCTAACTTGATCGTCTTCAGCGGCGCACAGCCTTTCAGAGCGCGCACGGGAGGGGTGGTCGGGGCGTGGTGTAGTGGTCTAAGGCGGCGGTTCAGCCCCGAGACCGGGGGCGCGGGTACGGTTCCCGGGCCCGCAGACCTACGCATTTTCGTCCGCCCTCCGATAGGGAAGCCTGGGCAGAGCGACGGATGGATCTCCTCTAGACCATCTAGTAGGCATTCTACAGTAGGATAATCGTAGGTTATATATTAAGGGGAACCTGGTTAGACTAAATTATGTGGGGACTAATAATATTGGGAAGCCGCGTCTATTAATGGTGCCTAATAAATGAGTAGTTCACTAATCTATCTAGAGCGTTTATAAGTCTAGCAGAGCGATTTTTCTCCATTTTCGCCAGTTTTTCGGGGGTTTGCTTGATGCGCTTT